CAGACAGTTCATTTTTATATGCACATGGGACTAAAACAACACATTGAGGCCAGTGAGTTTTCATCCTTTCTTCTTAACTTTAATGATATTCTTATTGGGTTATGTATAAATTAAGTGAACCAGATGGGCTCTCCTGAGATCCCAGGGAAATACATTTGCTAAGCTTCTCTAAGAAAATCAGGGAAAGCATATACATTATTCAAAGAACACAAATAGCTCTAATTGAGCTGACTACTTACACTGCTTAGAATGCTCTTTCTCGTATACATTCAACATACTGAGAAATGTACATTATGACACTGTACTGTCTGCCCCTTACACCTACCGAGACTATAACATCATCAAGACATTTCCAGATTTGATGATGGGTTTTCAGTGTCTGTCTATACTGTCTCACATATGACAAGGACAGGAATTTAGGAGTTGAGGGTCTGGCATAAGAGGCAAGACAAATTAACACAGATTTAACATCTGGGCTCTGCGGTGTAATATATTTTGGTGACTTTTGATTTGGTATCCCCTATCTTTGCAAATGACTGCTGGAATCCAAGAGATCATCACAATATGGACTCTAGGTAATAACTACTTTTCCCACTAAGGGAGGCTGACATGGCCACGAGTCTTGCCGAATGTACCAGGTATTAGGGGATCACTGGACAGAAAGCACTTTGTAAGTGTTGTAAAAACAAGTGTTTGCATCTGATTTTCCTTCTCCCTTCTTTTCTTAAATATCAAAGCCCTCCATTAAGTATACATTTCTTGCATTTGCCCTAACTATGAAGGTTTAGTTATTTTAAAATTCTGTTTAGCATTAGTTTGGGCTCTGTTTCTTCTTTTCAAATGTGCCTTCTCTCCAATCAAGGCAGTCAATTTCATACTTTTCCTGGGGGAAATTTAAGAATTCTTTAGTTTGAAAAGACCAAAGTTAAGTAAATTTCTCTTTCAAAGGTAATAAAAAAAAAAATACTAAGAGATTAAATGTAGTTTTACCCCCGAAAGTAAAAAATTCGGAAGCAGTCATGCCTGTACCTGGGATTCTTTTTAGCTTTCTGCATCAACATCGTAGAGAAATTTGAGAGCTTTTGATAGAATTTTATTCCTTGTATTTTAAGTTTTCTACCTTTAATTTGCCTAATGTAAAATCATAGACATTTAACCAAAAACTCAAAGTCTTTACTAAAGGAGAAAAATTAGAAGTCTAGCCGGGACTGGTTTGGCTCAATGGATAGAGCGTCGGCTTGGGGACTGAAGGGTCCCGGGTTCGATTCCGGTCAAGGGCATGTATCTTGGTTGCGGGCACATCCCCAGTAGGGGGTGTGCAAGAGGCAGCTGATCGATGACTCTCTCTCATCGATGTTTCTAACTCTCTATCTCTCTCCCTTCCTCTCTGTACAAAATCAATAAAATATATTTTTAAAAAAATTAGAAGTCTATTGAATTTTTAAAAAATGCCTACCAAGAGAGGATATCAAATAAAGAGGGAAATTGAATATCTTCTCTCTAGAACAAAACATAGAAATGAAGTTTTACCTGAAGGCCTCAGTTTTAAAAATGACATTCTTATTTTTCATTTGTTCTAAAAACAAAACAAAACAAAACAAAAACCCGCAAACCCACAAAAACAGAAAATAAAAGAAGTCCCTGTTACTGTATATACTTGTTCACATTCCCAAAACTGGCTTGGGAAGTCCTGGATTCTAGTCTTGCTCATGAAGACACCGACTTGGAATCCAAGGTCCAAGGAAGCCCCTCTAAGGAGAAGACAGATTCCACCACCAACAACTTAGGTATCACTATGCCAACAGAAAAACATTTTCAACGGGAAATAAATAATGGGCCTGGGAGGAAATGTTTACCCAAGCAACTGTGTTCTCCTCACAAAAGGAAAACGTGCTTTTTAAGAAGAAATAACAAAATCCACATAACTGCTCAAAGAGGAATGCGCACCGTGGTGTTCTGTTCCAGCATGCATTCATAATGTAAATCTAAATGCATTTATTGTGCAAGTTTGTTTCCTGGACTTCAGAGGATCAGCTCCCAAACTCTGAGTGTAATATAAGGATGGATGAAACATTCATTTTGCTGTCACTGAGAAAATGAATATTAGGCTCATTCCAAGCGCGTGCGTGCACATGCACAGTACACTTAATGAATGGGAAGACGAACCCATTCATGCTGCTCAGCTAAAGCAACGCTAATTGAGTAGGTTTCTTTCTCGTTAGTGTCTGGTTAGTATCATAACTAATAAAATGCCATTCACTAAATAAACAGCAGCTGTGAGTCTAAAATGAGTCACCGATTACATTTGGCTCACGGAAATGGCAAGAGAGGAGACAGGTATGTTGCCTTCGGGACAACTCAGAAGCATTCTGGCATGAGAGGGGGTGAAAAAGGAGCTCATTTTCTCCTTTTGAAGACTCCAGATCGGATCTACAACTATGGAGACAGCACAGCTTGCATTGCAGTGTTTTCCAGGATACTGAAAGTCTAAGCTAAGGGAAAATAGCACATGATGTGCTGCTGGGAATCTGGGGAGGCTCTTTCATGCCAAAGTCCATGGTCGGTATAATGATCAAATTTTAAAAGTATTAGCATTCTATTTTTAAAAAAATATATTTTATTGATTTTTTTTTTACAGAGAGGAAGAGAGAGGGATAGAGAGTTAGAAACATCGATGAGAGAGAATCATGGATCAGCTGCCTCTTGCACACCCCCTACTGAGGATGTGCCCGCAACCAAGGTACATGCCCTTTACCGGAATCGAACCTGGGACCTTTCAGTCCACAGGCCGACGCTCTATCCACTGAGCCAAACCGGTTTCGGCCATTCTATTTTTTTAAATAAGCAATCACTTATACATCAGACAAGCAAGTAAAAATTAACGGCAAAAATACAAGCACCTTCAAAGTACCTGCTCTACAATTACAAATCAAACCAGTAAGCACTCCTGTCTTTGACAATTCAACCAGCACCCTTGCCAGCCCCTGAAGCTCCCTGCACAGCCCTGCACCAAATGTCTGCGATGCAGTGGACAGCTCCGGGGGGGACAGGAGACCCAGCAGAACCTTAAGCTTCTTCCTAGATGTGCCCACAATGAGCAGCAGTTTAGAAATGTTGGGTTTTACTGCTCATTGTATTATAATTAATTGAAAATAAGTCAACTCTATTAAACTCAACATTTTATTACCAAGGAGAACCTGACCAAGCAAGACACAACAAATGGATGACTCCTGCTATGGAGGAGTGTTTTCTCCTGGGAATGTTGCAATTGCCTTCAAGTGGTCAGTGAAATCACTAGCGAACGAGGCAAATCATAAATGCTCCTTGAGTGGCGTGTGGGTTAGCACCTCCTCAAAATGTCAGCAGCTGGTCCCCTGGCCTGCCCCAGACATGCACAGACTTATTGTAAGCACACTCAAATGAGCTCAGGTAATTAACGAACAAACAAGGGATGTAGCACATGACGGTGTAGACTCCGCACATGGCAGTGTGGATGCAGACTCAGTGCAGTGTGGACACAGACTCAACACAGTGTAGACACAGCACATGGCAGTATAGACGCAGACTCAACACAGTGTAGACACAGCACATGGCAGTGTATTGCAGTGTAAGTGATCAGAATCAGACATCCTCTCTATTCAAACACTGAAATACGTTTTCTGGTATAAGAACTGAAAAATCAGCTTTTACGTTTCATCCAACTGGTTTTGTTTTTTTTCTAATAGTCAAACTATGAAAAATAGTACCCCTCACTTTGTGTAATAAATCTTTCATCAATTTCATAACTTACCTGCTGTTTTAAAAGAGTGAACTCTCAGTGGGTTGCGTTTACCCCTTTGCTCCTTCACAAATGCCTGTCTTGTACGTTTCTTGTATTATTTTTAACTTCATTAAATATTATTACTTGGTATAAATTTATAAAGTGACACATTTTTCAATACCATCTACGTCAACTTATTCCATAATAGCACATTCCATCCAATTAAACTGCAAGGTTTCCCACATTTGTTTTACATTCTGTATGTATGGCTTATGAATAGCAATTTTGATGAATTCCAGCTGGTTTAAATATGCGGGCAGACCCTTCTGGAGCAGATTCTTTTCAATTCTTATTGTATTCAATGAGGCCCTTTTTAAGTGGGCCACCTGGTGGGAGGAAGCCCTAAGAAGTCTCATTAGAACAAAATAAAAAACAATCACTCCACTAAAGTTAAGACCATCTTCCCAACTACATGACTATTATATAATTAATATCGGTGCAAAGTAGTTCTTACCTTTTGGAAAACCTGAATTAAAAGTTTAAACAAGCTAGCAGCCCTACGAACGACTAAATGGCTCCTTTGTTTATTGTAACAACAATATTATGAGAAGGTTCACCATTTGTGCATGTTGCTGGTCTCACAAATCTATCATGCACGTTTCAGTCCCCCTCCACTCCCCACACCCTCCACCTCCCTCCAGCTGGAACACATCAAGGGCGCAGAAGCCAAGTCAAATGTTGACCCCACACTCCTCCATCCATTTTAAGGCACCTTCAAAGGCAGAGCGCTGATCTAACTCAGTCTGCCCCAGCTAAGCCAGCCATCCCGCTATTGACGATTCCAGTTTGGGGTTTTTATAACTGCACAGGAACAGGGGAGTTTTGATTTGGGGTCCAAAACTTCAGCCGCACTGAGTTGTAGCAGATTTTGTGCCCTTCCTGCCAAAGGGTCCTCATTATTCAATCTTCAGAACCTTTCCTCTCTCAGTGTCCATTTTTTCCCTTATGATATCAATGCCCAATAACCGGTTCGGAAGGACCAATCTCCCTACCCAAAGGTCAAACCAGCACAGCCGCTGTGGGAGTCCAAATGCATGCTGCCCCCAGCATGTGCACACCCTGTGTCATTTGTGTACGGTCACAAACGACAGTCATTTTAACGTGCATAAAAACACACGTGCCAAGATGCATGCAGGAGGGGAATAGAGAAAGAGGAGCTGCCGCAGGACAAAGAACTTACTTTGCTGTTCCCCTGTATGTGTAGCAGCAAGGAAAAAACAAAAACAAAAACAAAAAACAAAACACAAAACAAAAAAGAAATAGGTTAATCATGAATTTATGTTAAAACTCTGAGGTCATTTCTGAGCTAAAGCAAAATCAAAATAAGTTAATTTAACTGGTCACTCACGTCCAATACGTACGTACACAACACCCAGAGCTCAAGGACAAGTCAAAGGATCTACTTAGATGAAATGAAATCACACATTTATAACAGCGGAAAGTTAAGGCAGATATTTTCCCCCTTTCTTCCTACTCGAGATACTTGGAGTGTGGGAACCTGGCCAAAAAGCATGGGTTTCCATGGGTAAGGAGTGAACTGTTAGCATGAAAAGCAAAGTATTTAGTATGTCGAATTGCCCTTTCCTGACAGCCCCTCCTCCAACATGCCAAGCAGTGGAAAATTTCAGCAGTCAATGCGTTTTTAAACAAACACTGCATCCTTGGTTTCAGAGAAGGTGGAAAAAAAAAAAAAAAAAGGCAAAGAAAGCAGAAGGAATGAGTGGGTGGTTCTGGGGAAACAGGGTAAGCAGGCCACGTCTGACCTCCTTCTGTACCATTCTTTTATTTTGTAAATTACGAGCTTTGTCTTGGGTCAGGCCCAGGAAGCGCTCACTGTAGAGTGGGGATGTGGCCCAAGATAAACACTGGTCCACATTCAAGAGTTTGTCCCCCAAATGCAGTTATTTCTATAGGGGACACTGAATAGAGACACAGAGCAGCAGCCAGGGACAGGCAGTAGGAAAATGGGTCTCCTGTTTCAACTAGAGCTGCAAGAGTATGATTTATACCAAACAATTTAACTCACATATGGCTTAAAAAAATAGAGCAGTGATTCATTAGTCCCAGGGCAGCCTGAGTCCTCACAAGGTCAGATCCCGTGAGAGAGATGTGATGGGAAGGGCAGGGAACAGATCTGAGCTCTTCTCACAAAGGGCCCAGGAGGAATTTTGAGCTGAGAGGCTGAGACCAAGACAGTGGTTGGGAAAAGTCATGATTCTGTGCAGGGGACAAAGCATGGGGTGGAGTTACAGGTTGGGCTGGAGATCTGGCTTTTGGTTCTAAGAGAGGATGTGGAGGGGAAATCACACCTTTAGAAGTTTTCTGGAGAGAGGGTTAGGCAAGGATTGCAGGAGAGCGTTTTTTTTGTTTGTTTGTTTGTTTGTTTTGTTTTGTTTTTTAAAACAATGTCAATTGGTGACTTGGAGGAAATGTCCAATTCAAGGGGTTTCACAGACATCATCTTTAATAAAAACAGAAATGTAAAGACACTGATAAAACTGTAAAGGAGCTTCTTGGCATTATGGGTAGCCATGATAGAACTGTTCACAGCATTGACTTGTGTGAGGCAAAAATAAGGACATAAGAATGAATGGAGGGGGGAAGGAGTCTTTAGTGAAAAATATGCCAGCTGTTCAAGAAGGCAGTAAAGCTCCCCACAGGGAATTTTAACAGGAGAAAACTTCTATTTTAGAGAATAATGGGACTCCGGTTCTACGAAGCAGTGCAATATTGCTGCAAATTCCTCCAGCAGATGGAATTTATTGCATTCCACAGCCGTGCAGCTTTGATCTAGCAAATCAGTTTCAGGAGTCCCACCAAGTATTTCTGCACGTTAGGGAATGACTGACTGGCTTCCTGCTCCATGCAGATGGTTCTGTTTGTAGTGGCAACAGTGATGTCACAGAGTAGGGGCCTTAATCCCTAAAGGGAAGAAACGTGTGAGTGGAGGACGTGGAGGGGCTCGGTCTTTTCTTGTTTCCTCGATCATTTCCCTGCTATCTATGCTGGGAGAGGTGGAACAGGACTGGGAAACTGTGAAGGCTCCGTGTTTGGATCCCTTGAAGGTGCCTCGATTAAGGAATAACTAAGAACTGGTCAGGTAGCTGCTCCAAGCACCGATCCAGCTAAGGATAAAGGGAAGTGTGGCAGTGCTATGGGGGGCATTGTTAGTCTTGTATCATTCGTCAGCTGAATAAACTCCTGTGAGTGGTCCTCACCACATTAATCAATATTTACAGAGGTCTGTGGCCATTCTTCTTCCCCTGGAAAGATAAAGAGACCTCTTCCCTAACTGTCATTTGTCACAAAGGATGGCTCCGTTTTGGAGGTTATTCAAAAGGAATTTCTGAAGTCCCAAGAAGACTTCATTACAGTATGATTTCAACCTCCAAAGCAGTCCCAAAAGCATTATGACTTGGAGAGTTTTGAATACAGAGGTATAATGAAATTCCAGGGCATTCCACTTTCTACTGCCAATTTTCATCTCTTAAGAAAAAGCATACACCATATGACAGAACCACCTATCCATATAGCTAATAGGAACCTCATAAAAAGTCCTGAGGTATATGACCTAACAACATGCGGAAATGAATCTACAACAAATTTCTTTCCAAGGCCTGCATGGATATGGGGTCTGCTTCCTCCAGAGAATCAGCAGGTCAGCCTCTGCGGGCAGGCTTATGAATCCTCGCTTCCCAACAGCCTCTTTGGCTCAACCCTGACTGATGGAGCTTTGAGCTGGGTTGTCCATGGGGCAGCAAAACCCCAGGACCCACCTAAGCAAGTTGACTTCCTCAGCCAACAGTTGGGGAAATTCTTCCTCCAATGCCCAATCCCAACGGTAGTTTCCAATAAAAGGGAGCTACTAAAAAGGAAGATACAGCTTCATGAGCACAGTATTGATTTTCAACAATAATGTACATGGCAATGAACACATCCACCCAGTTCCAGGCACTGAGCTCAATGTGATCCGTAACTGCCTTCACTTAATCTGATCAAATCACTTGAGGAAGTTATTATTACTTTGAGTTTTAAAAAGAATAAACAATTGGATAGTTAAATAAGTTGCCTTAGGCACATAGCTAATAATTGGAAGGGTAGAGATAAAAATGTGAGTGGATTTGACTTAACGTCTACCTCTCTTCACTCACACAAAATGCTTTGAAGAATTCAGAATTCCTACTGTTCATGTCTAATTTAAGTCATGCTCTGGGCTGACAAAACTGTGCCAGAAACATCAGGCATTTGATATATCATGTTCTTTAGATATTTAATCAAATTCACATTTGATTGTATTCAAACTTACAGGAAAAGTTTATGTACATGGGTCTGTAAATAGTCTTGTAAAAATGCTTTAATTGTAGCCTGTAACTATTGATATACACACATACATTTTATCTCAGTCTAATTATTTTTAAAAAAGCTAATTTGAAAATGTATAAAATCCTAAACATTTTTTGATATAATATTTTATAGTGATCTTAATTTCAGTGTAATGGCCAAAGAAAATAGAAAATTCTGCTAAACCCAAATTCAACTTTAAACACATACACACACATACACACACACACACACACACACACACACACACAATTAGAGGCCCAGTGCACAAATTCATGCATGGGTGGGGTCCAGAGGGCCTGGCCCCAATCAGGGTGAATCGGGGCTGGGCTGTTGGGAGGAGGAGATGGTGTTAGATTGGCTGGAGGGCCCTGCCCCCCAATGGGATGGAGGTTGGGAGATTGGGGGCCAGCAGCCTGGAAGAGAGGCTGCAGGCAGTTATCTGGCCAGCCCTGCCCCTGATTGGAGTTGGGGGGACTGATCTTGGGTGGAGCCAAGCAGGGGGAGGCGCTGCATGAGGTTGTCCAGCGGGCCCAGTACCTTATTGGGATGGGAGGGTGATCAGGGGCAGGGCCATCCAGGGGGAGGTGCCATGGGAGGGTTGGCCGAAAGCCCCACCCCCAGATCCGGCTTCCTGCACACCCCCTACTGGGAATTGAGCCCAAAAAGTAGGCATGTGCCCTTGTCCAGAATTAAACCAGGGACCCTTCAGTCTACAGGCCGATGCTCTATCCACTAAGCCAGATTAGCTAAGGCCAGGTTTAAATATATTTTTATAATATTGCGGCTGCTCAGAAAGAATGCTACGTTATGACTCAGAGAGGTTGTGTGTGGGTTGTGGGGGTAGATCAGTGGCACCGTGGGAAACTGGAGCCTGGACTCCTCATTTCCACCTTAGGATCACAATGACACTGCTCACACAAGGAGCCTACGTTTTGCTTTGGATCCAGAAAGATCAAGGGACTGGAGCTAATTAAAAAGTGCACATGGGGGAGGAACAGTTGGGTTGTGGAAGTATATTCAGATATCCACTGTAGTTCATCACATTGTAGGGTAATTATTTCTTTGCCTCTATCTCTTCCACTAGACTTGGAACTCCCATAGAGTAAGAATGACAACTTTAAAAAAAATCTGTGAATCTCTAGAGTCCAACACAACAGTGATGGATGAAGGGGAGGAAGGAAGGGGAGTAGGAAATGGGAAAAGAGGGTAGAAGGGCAGGAAACAAAGAAAAAAAAAATTAGAAAACTCCAAGAGAAATGACCTAGGAGACAGAAGAAACAGTGTAGCAGAATATTATGATATTAATGACATAAAAACATTCCATCATGTGGATGTGATAGAAAAATATGCTGGGGAAAAGCATGATGTAATACAGTGTGCAACCTTAGTTGAAAATCAAACTGGTCTGAAACATTATTTTATTCCAATTTGGGTGATAGCTATTTATCTAAATGAAGCCAAACCTTATACAAATAAAAAAAATAATCAGTGTAGATTTTTTTTCCAGTTAAAATAGAATTGTAGAAAGCAGAGCTTTTTGAGTCTAGACTCATGTCCATGTATGACACATAAAAGTTTTATTATTAGGGTAGCAGCTGACTGACTAGCTGTTGACTTGATGGGTTAATGATACAAAAACAAAATGACCCACTTAGACAGAGGCATCTCTTACTAGCTTAATCTAATGTCTTCATCAAATCTTTCTAAATTAGAAATAACCGCATCTGAAAGTATCCCTTCCCCCAAGTCTATTTGTCAAAAAAAATGGGATGGTTAGACAAGGGTTCTACTCTGATTGTTCTCAGTAGTAAGCAGCCATTTAACCAGCTGAAAGTCAAGCAATCATGTAATGTAACCTGGTGCATAAAGAATGCAAATAGTGTTTATGATGAAAACTGAGAAAAGCAACGTCCCTGGCCAGCTGCCAAGTTTAATTTCCTGCCTTGTCTTTGGCTTATAGTAAAAACCCCCTTTGTCCCAATCTCCCAAACCACTATGCAGAATGTGTGCTTCTAAACAAATAAAAATCATGTGAAAAGAACCAAAACAGATTGTGTAGGATTGGCTCATTCTCTACATTTACTTAAAATTGAGCATTCTGTGAAAAAAGAAAGCTAATATTTCACTGAGCTGCTTCTTTGTGTAGAAATATGGGTACATGAAAATTCAGATTTATAAAAACAGTTCACTGAAGGGAAGGTAACTGTGCTTTTCCAAGACAGTGTATTCCTCACAAGAGAAGCATTATGTGATTTATTTAAAAAGCAAACATGCATAGTGCATTTAAAATAAGCTGAAAAAATAAAATAAACTGAATTAACAAAATTATGACTTAAGAAAACATTTTCACTAACATTACAGTTACCGGTACATGTAAGGAAGAAACACACACACACACACACACACACACACACACACACACACACACACAGATTTTATATAACTGAGCATATCTGGGAGATAGAAATAACATAAAGTCTCACTGGGCTATATTATAACATCCACAGTGTTTTAGCTCTTTCATCTACTTGATAAAGGAAGTAATATGTGATAAAATGATCATCATCATTATAAATAAAAATAGAGTGCTTATTTGTGACCATTCTATTCAGTGCTTTTCCTGCATTATCTCATTCAATCCTGTCAACCAAGCCATGGGGACTTGGCGTTATCTCCACATTAGGAACGGGAGTCTGGAATCATAAAAAGGTAACCTGCCCAGCATCTCATAGCTTGTACGAGAGTGTCTGGAATGTCAATAGGTAGCCAGACACTAAAGCTTGTGCTCGAACCCACCACTGCTTCTTCTCAGACCCAGTCATAATGATATTGAAAAATGCAAATCATATCTGGCTTGGGACCCTCTACTGATGTCCCATCTCACTCAGACTAAGTCTCAAAGGCTCACCACAACTTGCCCCTGACCACCTTCCTCTTGGAAACTCAACCGCTCCTGGCCTTCCTCTATGTGTTCCAGACACACCAACATTTTTGTTGCTCTTCTAAGATGCTGCGCTGGCTTTGCCCAAACCAGTCTTCTGCACGATTACTCTTCTAGACTTCCCCATCATTTCCTCCCTCCCTTCCTCCATGAGCCTACTCAAATGTCCACACTCTCAAGGGGCTCCCCCGATAATCTTTCCTAAGATAAAGCTCACCTGCCCTCATAGCTCCAGCTAGCCCTTTAATCTACCGCATTTTTATAGAGCTTATCACTCTCTTACATCACACTACAGTTATACGGTTATTCACTGCCTTGATTACAGTCTGTTCCTTGGGGGTGGGACCTCACTGCTCAGCTCTGTGTCCTGGTGCCTAGACTGGGTGCCTGGAAAAAAGCATGAACTCAATAGGCTTTTATGAAATGAATGATTACAAAATTAATATAGAATGTTTATAAATTTTTAATATAGAATGCTTGTGAAATTAAACCCACTACCATCAATAGGTAGGGAAGAGTAATAAATAATGATTAGAATTAATAATAATTTTTTTCAATGCTTTCTCACATGTGGTCTTTAGAGTGGTAGTTATCTAGGCAAGTATGTGTATACACAACTGGTAAAAGCTGGATGACTATGAAAATCATATATCTCTATCTCTCTGCCTGGCATCATCAGGAAAGGGTCTGCTGTCACCCCATTTGGAGAGATCAGGACATATTGTGTGGGTTCATCATTTTAGGTGCTAACCAGAGAAAGGGAGTTGGTATGGCGTTAAGAGGTGTATGTGTGAGCTAAGGTAACAGCAGCGAGGAGAACATTTTGGCACAAATCCTCGATCCTTGATCCTAGAACTTCATTACATTCCAATGTGACTTGAGGGACGTGATCAGGTCTGAATGTTCCTGGAGTGCCTTCAATGGTCCCACACTGCATCCATTTTTCAGACTCACTCTGTCCTATTCGGGGCCTGGAAATAGCCCCACCTGTGTGTGACCAGTCCCACAAACTGATGTAGAGCCCAGCAAGCACCACTGTGGCCAAGCCGGACTCAGTCCCCAAGGCTAAGCCTCAGCACTCAGTTCTGGGGAGGCACGGGATAGTACAAGGCCGTGTGGGGAACAGCGGGGAATCTGTGAGGGCCGCTCCTGTGCAGCGTCTGTTTAACAGTGTGTGGACGTGTGTTGGGTTGGACTTCTGCAAAGCTGAAATCCAGACCTGTCTGTATAATATTACATTTTCCAAAGAACACAAATAGAAGGTCTGTTTATTAACTCGAATGAGAAAAGTGTCTTCGAGACACTTGAAGTATATTAATAAAGATAAGTGGGAATAGCTATATATTTTTTATTCCTTCACACTCACAGTGACATTAACCAGAGTTTGAACAGATATACTTTTGGAACAGGTACTACAGACATAATAAAAGAAGGTAGCTTTTTATAAAAATAAGTACATTTTTAAGAATATGAAAGTGCGTCATGATTAATGATATATATATATATATATATATATATATATATATATATATATGCTATGATTATATAAAGAATGCTATAAACTGCTTGTATTAATACCATAACAACTGTGGAGTATCATATAAAGGAAAATGAAAATTTAAATTACAACAAAGAAACTATCTCCTGGTTTGAGGATACACACACACACACACACACACACACACACACACACACACATTATGTTTTATGGTAGAGTGGGGCATTTTCTTTCAGTCTAAATATACTGATAAACTTCTTAAAATAGAAATCTAGGGGAGAAAAATATAAGCAAAGTATTGCTTAAAACTGTGCCAAATTAGGTCAAAGGCAAACTAGTTTCTCTAAAATATAGCAGGTAGAATTCTGTTTTCTTAAAAATGGTTAATAAGTTAAAAATAAGAGACTTCTCCCACTTACTAAAGATTTGTCGGGATAGACGCCAGCCCTTAGCAGAGAGGCCTTCCAGCTGTCCACGTCCTCCTGCGAATCACAGGCCAGCTCAAGGAAGCGATAGTCTTTGTATACATTCCTGGAGTTAAAAAAAGACCATGCTTTTAGTTCTGAACCAAACTCAGGATGATTTTTTTCTGTTACTGCAGACAGTGATACAAATGTCCGACCAAATGGTTGAGTCTCTCAGTCCCTGGAAGGAAAAAACACACACACCAATGCGTTTTATTTAAAATAGTGAGTTCCTACATGTATGTATTCTATAATTTTTTTAAAAAGCTTGCCATTGAGGATTCAGTCATCTGTATTGCTGAGCAAGAAGTTACGAAAATCTGAATGCTTCCAATGGGATGAAGTGGGTTTCCCCGGAGGAGAGGTACTCTGAGGGGGGAAGCATTTGCTGTTGCCTGGTAATCAGATCAATTTTATAAAACTATTTTACAAGTCTAAGTGACTCAGAGAACTTTACAATGCACAGCAGTAATCTTCCATACCAAAAATACTATGCTAGATTTAACAACACAAAAATGATCACTATTGTGAAAAGGAGAGAATGTTAACCAGTGTCTATCATGTGCACATCATATTCGTAACTGGGGCAATATTGTAATTTTATATTTCTTTTCCTAATAATAAAATAATACAAAAGATATAATGCATGCCCATTAAAAAATATGGAAACTATATGAAAGTAAAAATTGGGACAATCATCCTGTTTTCATTGTTTATAGATAAACTTATTTCTTTTTTTCTTTTTAAAAAAATATATTTTATTGATTTTGTACAGAGAGGGAGAGAGAGAGTTAGAAACATCGATGAGAGAAAGTCATCGATCAGCTGCCTCTTGCACACCCCCCACTGGGGATATGCCCGCAACCAAGGTACATGCCCTTGACCGGAATCGAACCCGGGACCTTTCAGTCCCCAAGCCGACGCTCTATCCATTGAGCCAAACCGGTTTCGGCTAAACTTATTTCTTATATTCTTATTCTCTGCATTTTTCACACAGTTGAGTTTTTATCTCCATTTCTATCAATTTGGTGTTCTTTATCACTTACTATTATATCACAGTCATCTATTATACTTATTCCATGACATCTTTATAAACATCCAATTATAATTACAATATTAATTAATATAAATGTAAGCCTGCACCCTCTCCAATCTGGGACCACTCAGCAGATGTCCAACTGTCAGTTTAGACTCGATCCCAGTTGGACATCCCTCTCACAATCTGGGACTGCTGGCTCCCAACCACTCCCCTTCTAGCCTGATCGACATCTAACTGTTCCCCTGCTTGCCAGATTGCCCCCAACTACACTCCCCTGCCAGCCTGGTCACCCCTAATTGCTTCCCTTCAGGCCTGGTCCCCCCTAAACTGCCCTCCCCTGCTGGCCTAGTCCCCCCCAAACTGCCCTCCCCTGCTGACCTGATGGCCCACAACTGCCCTCCTCTGTAGGCCATTTTTTGTCCACATGGGGGAGGCCATCTTTGACCACATGGGATGGCAATCTTGTGTGTTGGAGTGATGGTCAACTTGCAGATTAACTCTTTATTAACTAGGATGGTAATTTACTTAATCTCCTCCTAATATTAGACAAGTAATTTTCTTTTTTTGCAATAATAAATAATGCTTAAATGAATATTTTTATCCATAAGCCTTCATCCCATTTATTATTTTCTGAGAATATATTCCTAGAAACAGAGTTAGAGGATCTAAATTATTTTTAAGATACTAATATGCATTCCATTCACCTTTCCAGAAAACAAAACCCAATTTAGACAGATACTAGCAGTGTACAAGATTAACAATCTTTTTCTCTTCTTCTTTTTCATTCATGCCTGCGAGTCTCAACTTACATCTGAACCCAGATGGTTCATATACTTGTATCTCCTGGGCAGACCTGCACCAGATTCACGCTGCCTATAGACTTCTCAACTTGAGTATCTCCAAGACCCATTGACATGTATGATCAAATTGCCCATTGGTTTTCCCACTTCACACAGCAGCAGTGTAATCAGAGATTTTGGGGAGTATCTTAGCCACCTTCTACTCTTTCATACTTCTCTTCCATTTTACCACCTACGTTTTTATTGCCGGTATACTGACAACCATCTTATTATCACCTCCTCAATGGTCTCCAAGCATGAAATCTGTTCTCACCGAATCCTCATCATGTCCTGAATATGTGAGTAGATATTTTTATCCCTCTGTAAAAACACTCTAACAGCTACCTGGGTTTGGGAAAAGGCCACACTTCCTATGCTGTCTGCAGAGCCCTGTGCGGTCTGGTCTTCCTCTTCAGCTCCTTCTCACACTCTGCTCTCCTCTCTGCTGCGGCCACACTGGCCTCCTTTTACCTTCTCCCACGGGCCATGCTTGCTCCCAAAGTCTCTGAATACACTGCTCTCTCCCTACAGCTCTCTTGCCTCCCCTGGTTGCACAGTTAACTCCAACTCTTTCCTGGGAATTTCGGCTGCGTCATCACATCCTCAGACACTACTTCTCTGACACTTCTGCAGGTCAGCTCCTCTTCCATAAATGTTTCTATTTCATATTTCACTTTCCTTTGTAGCACTGATCACAGCTGGTGATTTTGATGTAATGTGAGTTTCTTTTTCTTTCTCATTTACTTATTAATTTTGATAATGTCTGTCTTCCCGACTAGCCCATAAAAAACATGAGGGCAAAGACTACCATTTATATGCCCATCATTCTATCCCCCAAAAGATTCTGGGATGTTTTAATCATGTTTATTTTTTGCCATAGCCATATACTGGGATTTCGTTTTGACATTTTGAAAACTTTACTGTTTCCTTTGTGGAGGGTGAGAAGTAAATTGCCTTTTTGGCTTCTATGTTTTTTAGCAGTTTCAGTTCTACTGTAAATGGTTATTTTTAAGTTTTCTAAATAATCCTTTAATTCATTTTTGTATATATGAAATTCAGAAACAAAACAATAACTTGACTTATTGAAGAATTGAGGAGCTTTTATTTTCCTTTACTTTATCTCATGATAATTGCTAAACTATCTAGAAATACTAACCTAGAAGATTATTTCTGAATTATTGTTTTCACATCTCTTCAAGGGTCTCTTTTTATCTTTTTCTTTTGATACTTTTGCACTCACTGTTGTTCCACTTAAGCAATTACTTAGCTGGAACTCTCTGCTTAACTTGAATAAATATTTATTATCAGACATTTTCCACCTGGACTTTCCCATTTGTAAATTCTTACTTGGGAAAGTAAGTTTATGCTTTGAATTGGTCCCAAATAAGGCTGGCTATCTGGGTTTTTGGTGGGTGCCATAGCCACATTTCTCACGCTGATTCAGTAAGGAACTATAGAAGTTTCTTTTTGTTGTCTTCCTGTTTATCCAATTTTCCTTAATCAAGGTAAAGCACGCACTGGTCACTTATAGAATTGCAACCTAGTTAGCTCCACAGTGAACTAAAAAGCTGACTGACATTTCTAGGGCTTTGGAGACTCTCCCTCTCCGTATGATTTCTTGGATATGACAATAGAGGGAGAGGAGGAATAGAAGACCTTCTAATTTTTCACCATCTTAAAAAAAATCATTCTCATTTAATCTTCATAGCAGTCCTGCAAAGTTGGTAGGAGAGCTGTCTGACAGTTGAAGAAACAGATTTAGGGGGATTAGATGACTTTCCCAGGACCACATAGCGAACAAATGGTTCAACCTGGGCCTACCACAGGCTGTGGCTTCCTTAAAACAAACATTTGTTGAATGAGTGAGTCAATGAGTGAACGAACAAAAGAACTATGAAATTAACTTGGACTATGTTTATTTTTAAAACCACTTTTTTATTTTTCCATTTCTGATTGAATCCTTAACTTTCTATAAAAAACGTAAGATAAAAAAAGCTTAAGGAGATGAACGACAACAAACAGAATGTGTCATTTTAATGAAAAGTGGGGCACATTAAAGAAAGTGTACTTTCTAAGTATGAAAGTTTTATTTTTGGAAAGTCTGAAAGATCCTATCTCTGCTACAGAGCAGAAAGGGTAATGGATTATCTTACAACATATTATCTTGACAAAATCAAAATCCATCAGTTTTTAACTATCTAATTACCTCTGTACCAGAGCTTTTAGCTACCATTTAGGTTTCCATTCAAGGCAGTTCCACTGCACAGCACAAGCTCCTTTAAGATGTAAAGGTAGGCAAAGCTGGCCAATGGCCACAGAGCCCTCGGCCAGCTGGACAGCACACACAGCAGAAAGGGTACAGACTTTCCACATTCTCTAAGCAGATCTGAAGAATCCAGCTTTGGCCCATTCTCACTGACCTTTCTGCAGCGTATTTTCTTTCAGGGGCTCTTCACATGGAAAAATCTTGATTTTTTTTTTTCCCCTTCCAAGGATAGCCAAATTCTTGAGAGGGAAAATAATTATCTGGTTGAAACATTAGAAGAAGGTCAAAGACTTCTGGTGGCTTTGGCTGCTTCATTTATACCCATTTTTTGAAGCTTCATCTCAGGCTGTGTCTAGACAGCCAAACAGAGCTGGATACAGGTCTGAAACACTGAACTGAGCTGATTTACTGGAAGTCTCATAAATTCTGTGGATGCAGCTTCCAGGTTCTCACCACATGCTGTTGCTGTATAGATAACCCACAGCAATTTGTACTGACTGCATTTTTTTTTTTTTTTGTTTAGTCTATTTCTGCTGCAATCATGCAGATAGGAGCTTCTGAATGATTTCACTATGAAATCAAGTTGAACTATGTGTTTTACAGTTTGAAATAATAAAAGTCACCTCAACATTAAAAAGGAGCAGGAAAAACTTCATCCCATGCATAAAGGGTTTCTAAGTGCTTTCTGGAAGAGAATATGACCACACGATCAGCCCTTGTTTTGACTGTACCTATAACTTTCAGTCATGTGTCATAAAAATGTCTTTGGATGTTAAAAATGTGAAGTTTAATTTTCTTACCTATGGGAGACCAGATACTATGTGCTTCCCAAGTCCTCAAGTCCCTAAGTCAATCCTCCTGCCATTTTTCCCCCCAGGTGTTTCTAATATGAAGAGGTATCTAGATAACACAGCATTCTTCTT